CCATGTTGGCCAGGCTGGTCTTGAACCCTTGACCTCAGGTGATCCACCCGCCTCGGCCTCCCAAAGTTCTGGGATTACAGGCATGAGCCACCACTCCCGGCTCTCTGTGACTTTCTTAAAGCCTCAGCAGCCTGAGCAGGGATGTCCCCAGCCCACCGCCCCTGGTACTGGCTGACCTGTGGGGGCCCCATCTTAGCCAGGGGCACCAACCAGGCCTACTCCTGGTCCCCTCTCTTCCTGACCTTACTTTCCCAAGACCCCTGCTCCTTAGGCCCCAGGCTGGGAAAACTGTTCTATGTGCCGCCGACCATGGTGGCTGATCTGTGGAATTAGCCAGGCCCTATAGGCTGGCCTGCCTGGGAGGGGGGTTCTGGGCCGATACCGAGACGGGCCCTGCTCCTGTAACCTCCCATCCAGGCCCTCTAAGCCTCTTGCCTGGCTTCAGGAGCACTGCAGGCTTTGGGGACACATTCTCCTTGTGGCTGGCATCAGACCTTAGCTCCATGGGCTCAGGGACAGGGGTGTCCTTGGTCCACCCCACAGTGAGTGGCCTGGTCTGTTTAATAAGATGGGCCCTGCGGGGAGAGGACAGGTTGCCCTGGCTCTCATTCAACCCCAACCCATTCTGATCCCTACCCCTTCCCTTTAACAGTACTCCTGGCTGCTCTTGGCCTGGTCCCAGCTGCCTGGGGCTTGCCCCTCACTGTTCTGGTCTCTCAGGGGCTCCTCTCCCTGCCCTACTTATCACCCCTCTTTCCATGGTAAGTGTCCAGGTCAAATGCTGCTCCATCCTGCCCCCTAGACCTCTCGGCTGATCTGCCCACAGATCTCACCATGCAGGTCCAGCGACCTCCTCCATACCTACCCAGATGTCTAAAAGGCATCTCAGCATTAATATGTCCAAAACTGAACTCCAGCCATCCCCACAACCAGCTCTCTCCCACCTCGGTGCCCCTCTTCTCCACGGATGGCAGCTCCGGCCTTCTGGTGGCTCAAAAAAATTCCTGGAGCCACTCCGACTCCCCTTCTCCCTCACACCAGCGGCTGCTCTGACAGGCTCTGCCTCCCACACACATCCAGGATCTGACCCTGGAGCACTGGGCTGAGCGGCCCTCACCTGCCACCTCCCAACTGGTCACCCTTATTCTGCCCTCGTCCTCACACCCGACAGCCTCCTCTTCATGCAGTGGCAGGGTGATCCTGTGAACACTGAAATCAGATCATGCCCTGCCTCAACTCTAATGCCACAGAGGCTCTCCAGCCCACTCAATGCCCCTGCGAGCCTTCAAGGCTGTAGGCGAGGGGTTAGCAATTACTGCCTGGGCTAGTGGTCCGTTATGTGAATAAAGTTATATTGGAACAAAGCCCATTTGTTTACAGACGTCTGCTTTCCAGCTGCAATGACTCAATAGCTGCAAGATACCTTAGGCTGCAAAACTTTTTTTTTTTTGAGACAGAGTCTCACTTTGTTGCCCAGACTGGTACAACAGCGTGATCCCGGCTCACTGCAACCTCTGCCTGCCTCCCTGGGTTCAAGGGATCCTCCCGCCTCAGCCTCTAAGAAGCTGGAACCACAGGCGCATGCCACCATGCCTAATTTTTGTATTTTTTGGTAGAGATAGGGTTTCGCCATGATGGCCCGGCTGATCTCGAACTCCTGACCTCAGCTGATCTGCCCGCCTCGGCCTCCCAAAGTGTTGGGAGTACAGGCGTGAGTCACCACACCCAGCCCCGCAAAGTCTTTAAAATCCGGCTCCCAGTGACGGTCCTCCCAGAGTCTTCTTCCCCTTGCCCACTGTCCTCCACACACACCAGCCCCCTGGCTGCTCCTCCAAATGGCACACATGCCCTCACTGCAGGGCCTTTGTGCTGCTGTCCCTTCTGCCTTCAAGTCTTGCCCCTCACATCACAGTGAGCCCTCCCAGCCCACTGTCTCTCCAGCTGCAGCGACCTGGCCTCTCCTCACTCTCTTTGCCCTGCACTTGCGGCCACCTAATATAGTGATGACATTAGTGAATTTCTTCCTCCATTGGCCTAGGAGCCACACGAGGGCAGGCTGGTCTTGTTTTTGTTTTTGTTTTTTCCCTGCTGGATTTGCAGCCCATAGAACAATGCCTGACCCCCAGCAGGGGCTTGTAAATGTGCATTGAATAAATGACAACCGTGCTAGGCACCGTGCAGCCTTCAGCAGGCGTCCTGCCATTTAATCTGCACCGCAGCCCTGGGACTTAGGTTCCCTGTTTTAGAAATGAGGACGTGAGCTTAGAAGGGCTGCCTGCCCCGCCCAGGGCCTCAG